TACAGGCTCCATAGGAAATGAATGGAGAGCGAGCGACGTCGCCTCCCGTGTGTCGAGCCCTTTAAAGGTTTAAAAGATTTTTATAAGCTAACGCTAAACTATTAAATGTTTAAAAGATTTTTAGAGCTACTGCTAAAGTGTTAAACAAGTAAACATTAGCAGAAACGTTTGGACTTGCTACATCCAGACGGTGCAGAAAAGGTAAATGACCTTAAATGGTTTCCTGTAGAATAAATCTATAGGGAACTGTTAAAGGACAGTCAGGATTGTTGCAAATGACCAGATAATGTTGATAAAGCGTTGGGGCAGGCAGAGCTGAAGCACATCAAAGTGTCAGAACTGCATTAACGCACCACAAGCAGAGACTTCACGCTGACTTAGAAGTTTGAGAACAAAAGATTGAGGAAAAAGAAAATTATATTTTCTCTTTTCTTCCCTTCTCCCCGCAGATCTGCAGAGGCCCGAACAGCAGCGGCTCAGCTGGAGGAGGACATGGGCTCCATGCTGGGCTGGTTGGATAAAGCAGAGGGAGTCCTGGCCATCCCTCTGCAGCCTGCGGAACCGCAACACATCAGAGACACTCTGAACAAAGTCCAGGTATCGTCAGAGAACAGCAGCATGCATTTTAAAATGCAGAGTTCAGTGTGTGTGTGTGTACTTGTTTCTACTACACAGTGAGGACCATTTGCACCATAGTTATTATCAAAGTGAGGTCTTTGATGTAAAGTAAGGACCTCTTCAACGTCTTCACTTTATTTGCAGCTCTGCTGTACGTCACTAGTTAGATTTAGAGGTATGGTGAGAATTAAGTTTTGGTTCAGGTTAGTGTTAACTATAGACCAGTAATGGTTAATTTTAGAGAAAATGTCTGGGTTAGACATAAATACAATTACAAAAAATGAATGGAAGTCAATACAGTGTCTTCACTTTGATGCAAGTACAAGGATGTGTGTGTGTGCCCATGTTTTTGCCACTTGTTAGGGATGATTTTTCAGGAAATTGCTTCCTTGTGGGGACCAGTTGTTTGGTGGGGACTAAAATCCCGGTCCCCACGAGTTTGGAGGCTGATTTTGGGTGGGGGGGTTGGGTTTAGGACCAAAGTGTGAATTAAGTATATGTTAGATTTAGGGTCAGGTATACAGTGGTTAGTTTTAGAGTAAGRGRTCAGGTTTAGGCTATAGAAATGATCAGTAAATGAATGGAAGTCAATGAAAAATCACCACAAGGATAGAGAAACATAGCGTGTGTGTTAGTGTATGTTGGTTTGTCTTTATAAATCTTGGAGCCCAAACAAAATACCTGCTATAGGGGGACTTGAACATTGAAACGTTGGGGCAAGTTTTTTTTTTTTTTTTTTTAATTATTATTATTATTTTTGATGGTTTGAATTTGAAGAATGTTTAAAGGGCTCGACACACGGGAGGCGACGTCGCTCGCTCTCCATTCATTTCCTATGGAGCCTGTGCGGTGAGGCGACAATCACTTGCCCTCCTCCAGCTAAG